TAAATCAAAATTTACAATTAAGTGATTCTGTCTACGTGCATTAACTGACGTGACTTATACCTATCTACATTTATGTAAAAAAACTTGCTACATAAGTATAGACCAACATTCATTATTCAGTATCCAAAAAAAGAACTTCCTAAAATCTCACTTCAAACATGAGCTCTCCTTCTAACAACCTCCATAAAATTTATCTTCCTGTAATCTTACCAAATCCTTTAATAATTCATGTGAACTACATTCCTATAAGCATCACCCCAATTTTGATTTTAAAGACCATGTTACAAGGTCACCATATGAATGATCTCTCTATGGAACCTTTCCTTCTCAACCCCTCACTCGTTCTCCCTCACTCTCGTTTTAGAGCTTTTTTTAGCTTTTACTAAACGGAGATAATGTTGTGGCCAACTACTTGGAAGGCATTAGGTTTGCATGCAACCCCGAAACATTCAACTTTCGCTTACGACTCCTATCAACTGTCGCTCTTTACCACCCATTCCCATCTTTTGTAGCGGCGCTCTTCTACACTGTATCTCCTCTCGAGGGGGTAGCAATTGCCGCTCGAGAAGAGTTTTGGGAAGCATTCCCAACCCTTTATTTTGCTGAAGACGTAGCTGCCGAAGTTATGATTCATATTGGTGAACTTTCTACCAACGATGATCTGGCGTTTTCTAATGCATGGTCTAACATTTACCGCCCTCAATGCGTTGACCTATGTTCCTTAGGTAATGTTTGCAAAGATTGTTTATTCTATTCGAACGCAATGGAGCTGTGTATATTTTTTTAGTTTATTCTCTAATGTTTGGGGGTTTCATGTACGTACAGTTTTTAAATATCGTACGTACAATACCTCGTCTTTATGTTCATGAACTCGGCGAAATTATAATGTTTGTGATATATCTCGGGGTACGTCTCTTTCAATTGCTATGTACTTATATGATCATTTATGTTTGTACTGTACGTATATGTTCTATCTCTTTTGTATCAGTATGTCGACATGTAGCCATGGTCTTTCTTAATGTATTTCCTTACTAATGTATGTATATTGTATATCCCCTGTACCTATGTTCTATCTCACATGTACGTATATCTTCTATCTCTTTGTATGGTTATGTTGACATGTACCCATGCTTTACCTAAATGTATTTCCTTATTAATGTACGTATATTGTATATCACATGTACCTAATTTCCATCTCACATGTACATATCTGATTCTTCTCTGACTATGCCATGTACT